CTACAGGATACATTTTAAAAATTCTGGTTTTAACCTTCAGAGCTTTGCACGGTCAGGCTTTGTCTTACATCAGTGACCTGATCCAGCCTTACAAACCCAGCCAAGGCTCTGAGGTCTGGGGATCAGAACCTCCTGATGGTTCCACACACTCGCTTCAGGACCAGAGGAGACAGGTCCTTCCAGGCTGTCGCTCCCAAGCTTTGGAACGTTCTCCCGCTCTCTCTGCGTTCTATGGAGTCTGTTGAGTCCTTCAAAAGACAACTTAAAACACATTTATTTGTTCAGGCTTTTGCATAATTGTGTCTTGCTGTTATTTACTTGTATAGGCCTGTAATAATGTGTATGTCTATTTCATACTATGTCTGTTTTTATACTGTGAGGCGCTTTGTGACCATGGTCTGTGAAGGGCATTAAATAAATAAAGTTTACTTACTTACTCATCCCTGTCCTTAGACCCTCCTGCATCTCCAAGGGCCAACATTTTTTCACCTGAGTCTTTCTATGTGTCTATAAACCAATGTTTTTAATTCTCTGTTTCTTCGCATTTTGATTTGGGAAAACTGTTACATCCTGGTTCAAATTATTTCTTTGTTTTGCTTAAAGATCATGTATTTTTGAATATTATTCATAATTTTACCTTGCATTTGGGGACGTTAGTACCCAAAGTTTAAGGTCAATACATGTTTTTGTATCTGTACTTAGTCCATTTGCATCATGTACTTGACATTACCCAAAGAACACGCTGCCCTTTCAGTCCAACCTAATGCTACTTTTCCCTGTCCATTTTCTGTGATTAAAGTGGTTACAGCAAATTGTATTAAAACGGTACAAAAGCAACCAGGTAATGAAATATAGTGTTGATGTATCCTGGTTCAAAACATATTGCCTTTTCCATCACAAAAACAAAATGTACTCAATGAAAATGGTAAATGTAAAGAAGCAACAAGGTGTCAGACACCACTGCTTCTAATTCCACGTCTCAAAAGGTCTTTTTCAGGTGACAACAAAATGAAACCACTATTTCACATTGTTTCAGTTCACAGCAGATGCATATTTTTAAGTTAAGTCGTTCGTTGCTGATGCAGGAGGGTCTGAGGACAGCGATGATCCCGGACAGTGAGGGACATTTATTAACATTGATATGTTTGATTCTCTGATTTGTTGTTGGCAAATCGACAATTTTGTAATGTCTTCCATGTGTTTACAAATTGTATTTGCAACTTGCATGAAACAGATATATCTTTTTAGGTTAAAACCTGCTATATTAATTGAAAATAAAGTCAAGATAAAATTAAATAAACGTCAATAAATTTGTCACAAAAAATGTGAAATTGAAGATTAATGTAGTGGAGCTAAGAATTCAACTTTTATGAGGAAAAGTGTTCTCTGTTCATTGTGGGGGTGGAAGCAGAAGGTGAAAAGTGCGGGACACTTACCCAGTATACTATAATGAACTTAGTGTAAACATATATGATTCACAGAGCAGTGTTTTTAGTCCGACAAACTATGGTAAATACATCAAGTATTTGTACTGTTTGAGCAAACTTAATTGGTAAACTGTATTTTGCAATAAAAAATGTTTTGAAAGCTGTAAAGCTAAAGCTTTGACTTGCCAAATGAACTTGAAATTAATCCTCTTTAGCAATATTTTGTATGCAATGTATTTGACTCAATGCTTTTATAGTTATAAATGCATACACGAGAGCCTCTTATCATATTAAGTAAACTTCTCATAAGTTCTATAAAATATGTATTTTTGTACCATTATATTTCTTTGCCTTTCTCCTTAATGTCTCCGAACAGATTTGAAACTAATGAAATAGTTGTCGCTTTATTTTCTTTTTCGCCAGAGTAGTACATTGCTTAGTGTAGTTTATGACGCAGCAGCTGTAGTTTATGTCAGTCTCAAAGTGAATCTGTGTCTAATTGTAGGTGATTCCACAAACTCTCACAATCACAATAGACTCCAGTGTTTCTGTGTTACGCCACCGAACCCTGACCCCCACTGGCCACGCTCGCTCATACTTCCAGCTTTGTGATCCAGCAATTTTTTGTACTCATTTTTTGCGAAAGTACCACGTAGACACACAAACACACACACACACACACACACACACACACACTTTCTCTTGTGTTTTTTGTCAAAGCATCACTTACAAAAAGTAGTAATAGCTTCGGCAAAATACTCGGCATAACATGAAGTGCAGACACCATTAAAACCATTTGTAAAAACGCTTACGTAACCAAAACATACAATTATTGTTTTGAAGCGGTTCTAAAGTGAGCATCATAATAAAAGTTCATGTTCTAAGTTATATCAGTTAATGTCGGCTGCTCTGTCCTCCAGCAGGATCTGATGGATACTATCCTTGAACCAGATCCTGTGTATTTACAGCTCTCTCCATCCAGCAAATCAAGACAAGATATAAAAACAGCCTTTTGCATACACGTTTAGCTGGAGGGACATGGAGTTCTTGTTTTTCATCTCCACAGAAACAAAAATAGCTGCAACAAAACAATAATCCTATACAATAAAAAGGCCTGAAATTGGTGGCTGAGTGGACAGCACTCTTGCTTCTCAGTAAGAAGGTCCTGGGCCTGCCTCAGTGGAGTTTGCATGTTCTGCTTGTGTCTTTCAGATTCAGATTCAGATTATTTTTTATTCAGACATTCAAACATTCAACAGATGCCAAACAGATGATAAATAAACATAAAGTCTGAAATGGAATAGGCAGAAGCTAAAGCTTATTGCGCCTATCCCAGAGTATTTACAAAACATAAACAGTAAAGCTGCCAATGTCTTATGCAAGTAGTTATACAATTTTTGTTTTTAGATCGTCACAAAGAAGAAAGAAAAACAATCTATCATCTTAAGTTTGCATCCTTAGCGTCCATTCTCAATGTATTTTTTTATAATTGATTTCTTCAAAAGAATTTTAAATTGAATTAAGGTTTTACAGTCTTTTAGCTCTTGGTCCAACTCACTCCACACATTAATCCCAACAAAAGAAAGACAATGCTGCTTTGCACTCGTTCTCACATATGTTTTTTGAAACATTTCTTCCTTTCGGAAATTGTAAACGCAGTCTCGTTTTTGGAACAATCCCTGGATATGCACAGGTAACTTGTTGTAGCTTATGTTATACATAAATTGTGCGGTTTTAAACTCAACCAAATCCTTCAATTTTAGTGCTTTTAGTTTGATGAAAAGCTCATTTGTATGTGCCCTGTAAGCCATTTTATTCACAATGCGGATCGCTCTTTTTTGGATGATACTTATTGGATTAAGATTGGTTTTGTAAGTGTTTCCCCAAACTTCTAGGCCATAGGTCATGTACGGGAGAACCAGGGAACAGTATAACATATATAAGTTGTTTTCATTTAAGAGTTCTTTAACTTTAGATATTATTGCAAGAGATTTACATAGCTTTGCCTTGATGTAGTTTATATGGGGCTTCCAGCTAAGCTTATTTTGTAAAAGTACTCCAAGAAATTTTATTTCATTCACTCGTTCTATCTCAGTATCATTTATTCTTAAATTTCTACACACATTAATGGCACGGTTTCCAAAAACTATAAATTTGGTTTTATTTAAATTAAGGGTTAACTTATTAGAATCAAACCACTTCTTTAACAATAATAATTCTTTCTCTACTATATCTATCAATGCTTCTAAATTCTTACCACAACTAAGCATGTTGGTGTCATCAGCGAATAAAATAAGGTTTAATGTTTTTGAAACTAAACACAGATCGTTAATATACATAAGAAACAAAAACGGACCCAACACTGACCCCTGTGGCAGCCCGCAGGAAACTGTCAGCAGCTGGGAATCAGTGCCATTGGTGTGGACATACTGGGATCTGTTCTTCAAATAAGTCTGGAGCCAAGAAAAAGCCACTCCTCTAATCCCATATCTGTACAGTTTTTGAAGTAGCAATTCATGATTCACTGTATCAAAAGCTTTGGTTAGGTCTAGGAAAACACCAACAGTATATTGTTTATCGGCTATAGCATTTGATATTTTTTCTACAAGGTCCACTAATGCTAAGGTAGTGGTCCTATCGGGTCTAAAACCATACTGCTGTTCACAAATAATATTTTGCTTATCTACATAACTGAATAATCTTTTATGGAAGATCTTCTCCAGGATCTTGGAAAACTGTGACAGAATGGAAATAGGTCTATAATTAGTGAATTTCTGTTTATCACCAGCCTTGTGAATAGGAATCACTTTCGCAATCTTCATTCCTTCTGGAAAAACCCCCGATTGTAAAGAAAGATTAAAAATGTAAGCGATTGGTTTTACAACACATTCAATAGTGTCTTTTAATACTGACATGTCTAGTCCATTCCAGTCAGCTGACATCTTAGTCTTGCAGTTTTTGACAACTGAAATTATTTCATTTTCATCAGTGGGTTGAATAAATATAGTTTTATTAGTGGTTGGTATTTTGCTTAAAGCATCAACTTGATTAGTGTTGACTATTTCTTTAGCTAATTTAGGGCCAATATTAGTGAAATATTGATTAAACTGGTTTGCGATTTCATCGGGTTGATTGATCAAAGTTCTATCGTTTATTAGAAATTCAGTTGGAATGTCAGCATTTTGATTTCCCTTTTTGATTAGTTTGTTTAAAACACAGTATTTTTTATTCTACAGTTTATTCTTCCTCTTACAGTTTATTCTTCCTCTTACATGCTTTTTGAATTCCCCTCGTAAACCAGGGCTTTTCTGTAAATCTATGGTTTATAACTTTATTAACTAGAGGGCAGTGTTTTTCATACAAGGTAATAAAGATTTTGATAAATGCATCATATGCAGATTGCAGTGTGTCGTGTCTTTATAATAAGTATAGTTATAAGTCTGTTACGATTCTGTTACATTACACACAACTTAGATGAATACGTGGGAAGCGCCAGGGGAAGACCACGGGGAAGACCACGGGGAAGATTGAGGGGAAGACCAAGGGGAAGACCAAGGGGAAGTAGAGGAGGAACTACGTCACGTGGGGCTCAAGTTGGGCCCAGGCGCGTTGGTAGAGGTGCTGGTAGAGGCGTTGGTAGAGGCGCTGGTAGAGGTGCTGGTAGAGGCGTTGGTAGAGGCGCTGGTAGAGGTGCTGGTAGAGGTGCTGGTAGAGGCGCTGGTAGAGGCGCTGGTAGAGGTGCTGGTAGAGGCGCTGGTAGAGGCGCTGGTAGAGGCGCTGGTAGAGGTGCTGGTAGAGGCGCTGGTAGAGGCGCTGGTAGAGGCGCTGGTAGAGGCGCTGGTAGAGGCGCTGGTAGAGGCGCTGGTAGAGGCGGTGGTGACTCTCGTTATACTTGGTCCACAGCTGCATGTGCAAAACATCCAATCCGTCAAGGTTGCGGTGGATAGGGTATTTATTTATAAGATTAGATAATTGATAACTTACATTACTGTTACTTATTGTTTCCTCACAATTTATATATTTGGAGGTTTACATTGGGTGGCAGCTCTGGTTGCAGTAATGTATTATAATGGGAAAGTAAAACTGCATCTCACTGGACTGAAGATGCCCTCTCAATGTCACAAAATGAAGATACATTTATTGATGTAATGTGTTTTTCTGGAACATCAAAATCTGTATTATGTGCTTATTGTAGAGAGAATAAAGTCAAATGTATTAGATCTGTACAGAGAGATGTGGGACTGAAAAGCAATTCCAGTAAAGCTTTTCTGAAATACAAAAGTAATGTCCATCCATCCATTTTCTTCCCCTTAATCCATTTCTGGGTCGGGGGGTGGCAGTCAGAGCTGCACCCAGGACACAGAGCACCAGCCCCTCACTGATCCTCCTGCAGGTGGTGAGTCCACAGGAGCTGAGATCTTTCAGTGGGGGCTTCAGGTAAAGTGGGGTTAAGTGTCTTGCCTAAGGACACAACGACAGCAGTCATCAGTGGGAGTCGTGAAGTAGGTCTTACGGTGGGCTTGAACCCACGACCTTCAGGCTCAAAGGCCAATGCTCTACCAACTGAGCTACTGTCGCAAAAGTAATGTGTCATAACTAATTATAACTTTACACTGACTGTTATACTGTGAGGAAACTTGCCACTTTGAAAGCAAAGTTACATGCAAATACAGAACTGTTTTTGTTTCAGAGTAATAAGTAGTACATGCATCTCATGTTTCAATATTTGTATTCATAATACTGTAATACCAACATTACTGCAACATGTGAGACCAGAGAGAAGTGAGAGACCAGTGAGAGAGACCAGAGAGAAGTGAGAGAGACCAGAGAGAAGTGAGAGAGACCAGAGAGAGGTGAAAGACCAGTGAGAGAGACCAGAGAGAGGTTAGCGACCAGTGAGAGAGACCAGAGAGAAGTTAGAGAGACCAGAGAGAAGTGAGAGAGACCAGAGAGAGGTGAGAGACCAGTGAGAGAGACCAGAGAGAAGTGAGAGAGACCAGAGAGAAGTGAGAGACCAGTGAGAGAGACCAGAGAGAAGTGAGAGACCAGTGAGAGAGACCAGAGAGAAGTGAGAGAGACCAGAGAGAGGTGAGAGACCAGTGAGAGAGATCAGAGCGAGGTGAGAGGCTCGGCTGATTTGGTCCAAAGTTCAGGTTAATATAATGTGTAATGTTCTTTGGAAATGATTCACATTAGTCACGGAGTTGTTTAGAAACAGACGTGTGTGAGTTGAGGTGAAGCACATGGAAAAACAAAAGTTCATTCATAAAGTGATTCATACTCACCACAGACAGCAAACCATCACGGTCTTGGATTAGGAACTGACTTCAAGTGGTGAATTGAAGGAACAGTGGCTTCTATCACAGGAGAACTGGTCCTCCTGGTCCCTGTTTGTATCCTACAGATGAAAAAGAGACAAGAGAGAAGTGAGAGACCAGAGAGAGACCAAAGAGAAGTGAGGGACCAGAGAGAGACCAAAGAGAAGTGAGGGACCAGAGAGAGACCAAAGAGAAGTGAGAGACCAGAGAGAGACCAAAGAGAAGTGAGGGACCAGAGAGAGACCAAAGAGAAGTGAGGGACCAGAGAGAGACCAAAGAGAAGTGAGGGACCAGAGAGAGACCAAAGAGAAGTGAGGGACCAGAGAGAGACCAAAAATCTGTATTTTCCACATTTTTTAAATGTGTGTGTGTGTTTTTTTTTTAAACATCTCAAAAAAAAAAATTCTCTTCCCGCAATGACCTCCCCACTTCTGTCCTGTCCATGTGACATGTGCAGCAGCCGAGAACAAACGTAAACAACAATGGCGGCGGATCGGTGAATGTGCTTCGAGCGCTACACGGAGGAGAATACTGCTTCTTTGTTCGTCCAAACGAAACCACGCAAAGCTCTAGTTTCAGTTTCCATTTTCGCTGCTACTGTTAAATGCAGAATGATGTTGGTGAATTATTTCACGTCTTTGCAGTGGCTTGAGGGGGATGTTGTTAAGGAAGTGATAATACTGCGGGGGTTGCTTGTGTCGTGTTGTAAAGTTCCACTGCCTCCTACTGGCCGGGCGCTAGAACTACATTGTTTTCCGTCTTTGTGTAGACACTTCGAAGACGGAGCCTGGTTGTTTTTGCTAATTGTTTTGGACTGTGAATATTAACAGACGCAGTCACGCCTATCAAGTGGCGGACCCTCACGGCCTTCACATTGGCTTCATGTTGCTTTTAGAATTAAGTTTAAAATTGTACTGTTACTATTTAAATAAAACCGTCATATCTCACGGATTTGCTTAGTTTGCACACTCCGGGAAGAGCACTGAGGTCCTCTGACCTGCTTCTTCTGCACTGTCCCAGGTCTAGATTAAAGACCAGAGGAGACCGAGCCTTTGCTGTGGCAGGGCCCAAACTCTGGAACGCTCTCTCCCTTATTGTATCAGAGCTGCCCCCTCTGTAGAGAGCTTTAAATCGCAGCTAAAGACACATTTCTTTGCTTTGGCTTTTTAACACAAGCAATATTGAAACATTTATGATGGTGTCCTGCATTTTATTTTTATGCTGTATCCTATTTTAGTGTTGTATTTTATAATGTCTGGTAAGCACTTTGTGACAGTCCTGACTGTTTTTAGAATGTGCTATATATAAATAAACTTGACCTTGACCTTGACTTTGACCTTCACTGCTGGCCTAAACATGATATACATATATATACATATATATATATATATATATATATATATATACTGTGTGTACTGGGTGCAGCTCTGACATCCACCCCCCCGAGAAATGGATTGAGGGGAAGAAGATGGATGGATGGACAATGAATCCCCAGCTCTGTAATATTCCTGAAAACCCCTCAGTTTAACTTCCTGGAGAAATGTACCAGAAACCTTCCATCCTTTTGCAGCTCTGGTCAGAGATTTGTAGGTTCATTATTGTCAATGGACTTTTCAACAATACTCACATTTTCACCCGAATTCAGTCTTATTTCAGTGTAGCTTAGATCCAAACACATCCAACTCCTTTGGTTTGATATTCATATTTCAAAACAAACAAGCTGCCACCGACTTTAGTCACTCATTCGATGAATCCTAGTTCATCTGTGAATCAGTGACCTCAGCTGTCAATCATAAACACATCAGTCTCTACAGTTTACCACAAATGTCCAGTCTTTTCCATCATTCCATCAAGTGGCCCAGAAGAGGTGCTGATGCTCTTTTTTTGCCCAGTTGAATTTACTTCCAACTACTTTATGTATATAAAAAATGGAAAATGGATGGATGGATAGAAAAAATAGCAGCGTATGAGTCTAGAAGATGTTCATATCGTTACCCCTAAAAATATATAGAAAAACAGATTCAGCAAAAAGTGATTACAGTAAACCAAATTAAAAATGAGAAATACTATGCAAATTAGTTTACCTAGAAAAGGCCCCAGCATGTTTTGGCCGGGAGAGCATAGTAAGTGTAATGCTGTAAGTAAGTGTTCATTGTATTTTAACTGACAACCTAAGATCGCACATTTCACACACCTCCAGAATCCACTTGTTTGTGTGGAACATGGATCTATGGTGAAAAAGATGAACTAATCAGAATATTTTTTATTGCCATGTAAGTACCAGGAAGTCACAGACTTGGAAATTGTTTTGGCTCAGTGCAACAGTCAGAAAGAGAGGTAAGAGTAGAGAAGGCAAAGTAAAAAAAAAAAAAAAAACACTTCTAAGGAATACAATTTTAAATAGAATTATTACAATTACTATATACAATAAAAGAGACACTATAAAGGGCAGTAAAGTGACATTATAAAGGGCAGTAGGGGGACTTTATAAGGGGCAGTAAGGTGAGGTGGGGGGACAGGTTATGAAGTGTTCAAGAGTCCAACAGCAGAGGGGAAGAAACTGTTCTTACTACTTTGATCTTTGGAAACAAGTTAGAATGATGAACACTTGCAAGACTTCTTGTCCCTGGGACTTTGACAGAGTAACTGGCCTGAACAACAGTTATAAAATATGGATTTATCATGGCAAGGCAAGGCAAGGCAAGGCAAGTTTATTTGTATAGCACAATTCATACACAAGGCAACTCAAAGTGCTGAACAAGATAGCATTAAAATATATAATAAATATTCACAGAACATTAAAAAGAAAGATAAAAATATAAAATCCCTCAGTTGTATGCACAGCTAAACAGCACAGTTTTTAACTTGGTTTTAAACATTGTCAGAGAGGAGGCCTGTCTCACATCCTCAGGAAGAATGTTCCAGATTTTAGCAGCATGAATCTGAAAAGCAGCCTCCCCATGTTTAGTTCTGACTCTGGGCATTAACAGGAGTCCAGTCCCTGTGCTCCTCAGAGTCCGGGCTGGTTCATATGGGACTAACATGTCACTAATATATTTTGGTGCGAGGCCATGGAGAGACTTGTACACAAGCAAAGCTGTTTTAAAGTCTATTCTCTGAGCCACAGGAAGCCAGTGCAGAGACCTGAGGACCGGACTAATATGGTCGTACTTCCTGGTTCTAGTCAGGACTCAAGCTGCTGCATTTTGAATGTACTGCAGCTGTTTTACAGCCTGTTTGGACAGACCTGTGAGCAGGCCATTGCAGTAGTCTAACCTACTGGAGACAAATGCATGGATAAGAATCTCCAAGTCAGCTTTAGACACTATGTTTTTGATCCTGGAAATGTTTTTTAGATGGTAAAAAGCTGCTGATGTTACTGATTTGATGTGGCTATTAAAATTTAAGTCTGAGTCCAGAATTACCCCTAGATTTCTGACCTTGTTTGAAGGTTTTAGGGAGAGAGACTGTAGATGACAGATGACGCTCTCTCTTTGTTTCTGGGGACCAAAGACAATTGTCGAGGGGTGCAAAATGGGTGGTGGGTTTTAATATGGTTTGTTTTATATTTTATGCATGTGTTTTTAATAT